TCAAATTTTGCATTTATCATTGCCATATAGATCTTGAACTTATTAAAAACTTCTGATTTTGCCTTAATAGCGAAACATACAGTAAAATGTGAAAAGTGGTCGATAAATGATACAAAATATTTCTTACCAGAATGGCTTTCAGGTGCAATTGGTCCACATACATCTGTCGATATGAGTTGAAGGAGTCTCTTGGCCTTTTTGTCTTTATCAATTGACTTATGGGGAAATTTTGTTTGTTTGCCATTCAGGCATGGCTCACATAACTCAACACTAGGAAACTTCGAAGAGTGTCCCATACGTCGGTGCAATAAATTTATCTCGCAAGCAGTCAGAGTAGCAACACTAACACTGCTGTTCTTTTTAAATTCAACAAAGTAAAGGTTTCCTTTAGCTTTTCCTGTTGTAATATTATACACTTATTTTTCTGGATATTTACTTGTCCTTTTTCGAATAGAACTGTGAGATTTTTTCCTCCCAGTTCTTCAACAGAAAGTTAATAATGTGACAGATTGCTACACATCATAACATTTTCCATTACAATCTGCTTACCATTTAAAGGTTCCAGTCCTAATTTTCCTCCTTTAGTAGCAACAATGGCTTCACCAACTTTGGCAACACTGATTTTATGATTTATAGGCACGGTTTCTTCTAAAAGCTGTCCCATTGAATCTTTAATTAAGTGATTAGTTGCCACACTGTCCGCTACAAATGTAATTAATTATATGATTACTGGTCACAAAAGTTTCCGATTGAAGATTGTTCTTGTTCACTTGTCAAAAATGCAATTCCATCGTCTTCATCTTCAGCTAAATAACAGTTTCCTGAACACTTATTTTCCCTTTTCTTATTCCTAGGGCAATCCACTCTTTTATGTCCTTTCTGTCCACATTCATAGCATTTAAATTTGAATTCTTTTGCAAATCCACCAAAAAGTCATTCAAAGAAGAGCCTCTTATAAATTTCATGTTTCCTAACTTTCTTTGCAGCATAATCATTACTTGATAAGCTATAGGTACCACTTTTAGCATAGGTACCTTTTATTTCATCAACTTTTGCTTTAGTTCTAGCTTTGATTATACATTGTCAGAAAGACAATTAGGCACTAACTGACGCACAGATTAAGCTGACGTCACACACAACCTCACATTCGACTTTCAATGGGGGGCGTTTGAAGGGTCTATTTCACCCGCAGGCGCTAGCTATTAAGTACGTCAAAAATCATGTAACGTCACTTTCGATAGGGGAACAAAAATTACATTGCGAGGTTATGTGTGTGACGTCAGCTAGTGCCTAATCAACTATACGGTTTCTGGCTTTGAGATCCTTCTTCTTAAATGCAGTTAACTGTGTCGGGTCTGTAGGGGCTACTGTGGTCAACATTTCCAAGACTAACAAGAGCTTCATTCTAAATTCCCAGATTGCATAATAAGTACCATCAAACGGCTTGATATTTTGCGGAGTTGTCGACATTTTTCTTCCGTTTACTTAATGTTCAGGTGTTTCCACAAGACTCAATTTTGCTGCTTATCCACTGTTGTTCCACTGTTTTTTCGAGTCTTTATCTTCCCTCTTTGTCAGCTTTCCGGCCTTCATAAAACACCTTAACTTCTGGGCGACATAACCTATTAACTTGTACTAGCAGAGTGAGTTAATATTTATGAAGGACTAGTTAAAGGTTTCAGGTTTTCAATAAATAACACAAACAGCTTTTAACTGAAGACTTGTTTTTATTACCAACGTGAAAGGTATAAATCTTACATAAACTTAAGAATTTAAGAACTAACATCTAGCGAACTTGCCTAGCAACAAGAACAATAAACTGAAAAAACTAGGTTTAGGTTATAATTCTTATTCTTTATCAAGAATGACAAAGAGTACGTTCAAGAACATGTTAAATTGTCACAAACCAAAACGAGACATATAAATCAATACTTCTTTGCCATTCCCATCCTCCCAGTCACCCTGCGAGAATCTCTAAAGTTTCTCTTCTGGATTGTGTGTAGGATCTGTCCGGGCGTTTTATCCACTCCAGCTCCACTCCTGCAAAGTATCCTATGAAATAATTTTTTGGGTTCGTGCGCTGCTAGGCACATCTTTTATGCCTTCGCATAACCTCCTCCAAGATTCTATTTTTAAAGAGTAATGCCACTTACACCATCTATATGAGAAATGCTTTGCCTAATACTAGGTAATCTCGTGGTCACCCGGTATATATACTTACACAACCCAAGAAATATAGGTATAGAAGATGAAAACTTTAAATAATAAAATGATAAACGATGAACAAAGATCATCCTACAATCATAATCAACAATTAGAGTCATCCATCTATACGATAGACAGACGATATCAAACTTAGAGCGTGTCTGGCATGGCTAAAAATAGGAGTAAATGAAGTCTATAATCGATTACTTTCTAGCTCTGCATGAAACTCAAATCTCTTCTCTGGCATTATAATAATTAAAACAGATGTGAACGAGCTTAGCTATCATTTTCATAGATAATCCGCTCGTTACCTTTCTAAATCTCTCACATAAAAACTAGCTTACAGCTTAAGGAGTGATAAATTGAAATTAATCTAGCGCTTATCACTTGATTTTCTATTGCATTGAGTGAGTGCCTCATTTTGCAGAAATTAACATTACTAAAACGTATGGGTTATATAGATTACTTTAACCATTTCTTTGTTGAATTTTATTTTCAGGATATTGTAACTGCTTTTGTTAACAAATTGAAAAGAGGCCCGATATACTCAGTTTGCTTAACGACTAATTATTAGGGGTGGGTCAATAGTTTAATTATTACAGAATGGCAAGGGCGCCACTGAATTAAAAAAAAAAAATTACATAAAATATGGAAGGGTGAAAATTCAGAAACACACCTTAAAAAAAAATCAGGAAACGGTAATTGATAATTCTGAAAAAAAAAAGTAAGTAGAGATACCATAACTCAACCAAATCTTGACATAGGTAAACCAATAAAACAATTAGGTAAGTTTCAAATTATATTAGTATATATTTTCACAGTGAGGTCAAAAATCAAGTACTGAATAAGTTCAATGTATAAAATCAATTGCTGGTAAAACACTTCAAAGAAAGAAAAAGAAACAGGTAAAACAGTAGCATTTCACATGCTACAATATCTCCTTCGATAAAGGTAGGTAGGTAGTTGAAGAACTAAGTATAATTCAAGTTGGTTTTTTGGAAAAAGGTTGGATTTAGGTCAAAAATAAACGGTGTTGAAGAAGATAGTGTGTATTTGCCGACGTTTCGGCCTAAATTAGGCCATCCTCAGGGCACTAAAAACAGGATATTCATGAGTCTAACATCATGGATTATTACATAGTGAACAGTGTAATTGTAAAGTAGTAAAACTGTGTTAATACAACAATGATACATTTAAAAATTTAAAAATTGAACAGGAATTTTATATAAATTTACTCAGTTATCCTTATGCTTTGATAGCGAGCAATTTCCCACGAATTAAAAACGAAAAAATGATCGTTGAGTTACGTAAATAACATTAACAATTAAAAATCAAATAAATAAATAACATATAAATAACATAAAACAAGGTAAATTAGATTACAACAGGTATTACTTACATCCAAGTTACTTCTCCAGTGTTATTAAATAGAATGTTATATACATAAGGAACATAATGTTGCTTGACTTCGTTCTTTGGTTTAGCTTTGTTAACAAACAGGAAACAGGACATTAATATAAGACAGTTACAAACACAAATAAAATTTAAAATCTTTGGTAGGTACTGGCTTTATTATTTCTAACGTTACACTAAACCATTTGTTTCTTATATGGGTCTTGGTTAGTATAGTATCAATAAGGAACAAAAAAAAAAGGGGTTTTGGTATTTAGCACAATCGCAAACACAACCATTGCATTATGATGGATTTTGGATGGACTTTAAAATGTTATTATATGTGATGCTTAATTTTTCAACGTCCTGTCTTTTATTAATGTTATTAGGATGCTTTTTAATCTCTATCATTTCATGTATATAACATTCTATTTAATAACACTGGAGAAGTAACTTGGATGTAAGTAATACCTGTTGTAATCTAATTTACCTTGTTTTATGTTATTTATATGTTATTTATTTATTTGATTTTTAATTGTTAATGTTATTTACGTAACCCAACGATCATTTTTTCATTTTTAATTCGTGGGAAATTGCTCGCTATCAAAGCATAAGGATAACTGAGTAAATTTATATAAAATTCCTATTCAATTTTCAAATTTTTAAATGTATCATTGTTGTATTAACACAGTTTTACTACTTTACAATTACACTGTTCACTATGTAATAATCCATGATGTTAGACTCATGAATATCCTGTTTTTAGTGCCCTGAGGATGACCTAATTTAGGCCGAAACGTCGGCAAATACACACTATCTTCTTCAACGCCGTTTATTTTTGACCTAAATCCAACCTTTTTCCAAAAAACCAACCTGAATATCTACTAACGTCACTAACTATAACAAACTAAGTATAATGTTGAGAAAATTTCCAATAAAAAATTATAAGCATCTATAGAAATGGTTCTCAATGCTATGACTAGTTTATATACGATCGTGTGGAAAACAGTTTAAAGAGTCGTTTTGTCACTCGAATTTTATTGAACAGATTTATTCGCCCAAAGACCTAAAAAGGCGGGCGACCTTTTGCAATCTTCAGGGCCCTTTTTGAAATCCTTGCGAAAAGCACCGTTTTTGAGGCAGTTGTAAAAATCTCTTTGAATCGCAAAAGAAGAGGGAAAAGATTGCGTTATAAACGCCAAGAAAGAAATTTAATGCATTTCTTTAGTTGGCCCTAAATCCAAACTTACGAATAGGAATTAGGATATAAATTTTTAGGCGGCATTTAAAATTTGTTACAGGATAAATATTTAGATGAACGGAAAGAGCGAAATATTATTGAATAATTCACAGGCCAATTAGGGTTAATTCCTAACTAACCACTGTTTTGTACTTTGTTCCAGAACTACTTCACAGAGCAATTTTGCTGAGTGGTTCAGGATTGAGTCCTTGGGCCCTTCAGAGAGATCCTCTTTGGGTAAAGAGAACAGTTGCCAAACATACAGGTTGCCACGGGGATCTGCACGAGGACGATCTGGCGCCTTGCTTAAGACTGAAGCCCCTAGATTTTTTACTTAATATCAAAGTGGATACTCCAAGATTTTTACCAGGTGAGTTCAGTTGAATGGTTATGATTTCTATTGCATATATTCTTCGGAAACAAATCGGGACGAATAGCGGCCAGTTTATAAAATATTCAAGAAGTTCGCCTCTTAAATGCTATATTATAAAATAAAAAACCGGGATGAAAAAGTATTACGTTTTTTGGGCCGTTCGGCAAACATGCAACCAAACGAGCTCTGAATAAGGCTCTTTAACTTGTGGCCCTCCGGTTTGGTTGCTAAACAGTAGGCAAATAAAAAAAGTTTTACGACACCCCGCATGTAAATTTCCTTAAATCTGGGGGCAGGTTCGACATCAAAACAAAAAAAAAAAAGATATGAAAAGTTTTTCCGTATAAAACTAATTTAACTCTAGTAAGTTTTCGATGACGGTATTACCGTATTACTTTTTCATTTTGTCAAACGCACGTTTTCGCTATAGAATCTAATGACTACATCTAGTATAATATTTCTTTATTCATATTAAATTACCCCCCTTACGTGACCAAGCAATCGGGTTAAATCCTGACGGAAGACACCTTCTCAGACAGGTGACTCGGGCTGTTGTGATTGAATCAAGAGTCAATTTCAGTATGTCGACTCATACATCATCGCCGATATGTGTTTTTCCTTGTACCTATATTCCTATACTTTCACAAACAAATATATTGTCACGGCTCTGGCTTGCGTGACGGAAATCTTAGGTTTGTTTATTCCAAAATCATAATCCAATTAACACAACAATAATTTATTCCACGTTACTACACACTCTGAAACTAATTACTCCACTAATTAATTCAAACAACTAAACTCCCTACAACTCTTAAGAATAATCACTATCTAAATCATATCACAGTCAATCTCAAACTTAAAAATTACTAACTAATACCGGTCTTTATACATATTATATCCGCAATCCATTCGTGTAGAATCCAGAATAAATGCGATAATCTTTTTTTTTTCGAATAAAGCCAGTAATTTCTAGATTCCAAATTAGATTCTGTAGATGCTAGCGAACGCGCCACACTGCCCTCCTCTTAAGGTTGATCGTCACGATCCACTTCGCGCCCATGATATTTTGTTAATGTGTCCAAATGTACAACTTTCATCCTACTCCTGGTGTTGCGCTAAACTCGATAAACCAAATCATTGATCTTCTTGATTTTTCTGTAGGGTCCTTCACTTGCTTGAAGACAATTTCGGCGACAATCCTTTCTTTCTTGCTGAATTATACAGCCACACTAAATCGCCTTCGTGAAATCCGGCTGATTGGCTTTTAAGTCGTATCTGGTCTTCATTCAGTCACTGGCTAGCTGAATATGCTCCCAAGCTAAATCATGTGTTCCTAGAAGTCGTGCTCTTACTTCCTCGGCATAATCTCGAATTTCTTTCCGTTCTTCTTCAAGTATTCCATATATCAGATCCCAAGGTAGCCTGAGTTCCCTTCCAAAAACGATTCTAGCTGGACTTTCACCAGTTGACTCGTGAACAGCTGCTCTGTAAGCCATTAAAAATAAAGGCTAGTATGTCCCAATCTCGCTGGTTCTTTGCGACCACTTGTCAGGTGTTCCTCTGTGGTCTTATAAAATCGTTCTACCATGCCATCAGACTGTGGATGTAAAGGTGTTGTTCTTGTCTTACGAATGCCCATGATCTCACAAATTTTCTTAAATATGGCAGATTCGAATTTTCGTCCCTGATCTGAATGCAACTCTAGTGGCACCATAACGATTGAAAACTTCGTCCACTAGCACCTGAACAATCGTGATGTCTTCGTGATTGGGATTAGCGAAAACTTCTGGCCATTTACTGAAGTAATCCATGATAACCAAGATGTATTTGTTACCACGCTCTGACTCAGGGAACGTTACGGCAACATCTGTCGCTATTCTTTCAAATGGGAGTCCGACGTTGTACTGTTCCATGGGCCCTCGAGATCTTAGTTTAGGGTCTTTACTGGTAGCAGAGATGTCGCATTTTTGGCACCAGGTTTCAACATTTTCACGATAGTGAACCCTGTAATAACGTTCCCGAATTGTGTCCAAAATCTTGTTAACTCCAAAATGTACTCCTGAAGTTCCGTCATGTATTTCTTTTAATACATCTTCTACTCGATCTTTTGGAATAACCAGTTGGCTCTTAGTAGATTTTCCATGGGCACTTTCCCAAATTCTTTTAAGTAAACCATCTTCTACGGCCCGGGATTTCCACTGAGCCCACAACGCCTTATAAATCAAGCTTTTGTTCAACACTTCCCTCCATTCTGGCCTACATTCATCATTTTCTTTAAGATGTAGAATCTGCCCGATGTCCTGGTCTACCTCTTTATTTTCTCTCATTTGTTTGGTAGTCCATTTATCATCAACGCTAAGACCCGTTCTTCTCACAGCTGGACCAGTGTTTTTCTCTTGCATGTTTCCAGGTCGATGATTAGGGCTGGCGTCTCTAGATCTCCAAATCTTATCGAGGCAAGAATAATTCTGCAATGATTGATGATGTAACCGATGGAGATACTATCGATATGCCAAATAGTAACGCTGATGATAAGAATAGTAATGTATGTTCTAGGTACGATCTTTCTGTTGTATTATGTAATATTCAGTCATCAAGACATAAATGTGATCAACTTTACGTGTTTTTGGAGAGTGTAGGCTTTCTTGATCTTGTTTTGCCCCATAGAGAAATATAATACATAAAGGAGAGTGTCCGATTCTGTACTAAAAAGAAGAACAGCGTTTGATCGAAGCGCACCAGTGGGGGATAATAGGAACTACAGTCGTTGCATCAATCGATAAGGCAGGTACCTATGCTTCAAGCCGAAAAAAGGCGGGATATTTGAATGGATGTTTCTGATCAGAATTTTCTTTGCAGTAAATAAATTTCGAAATAAATTAAAAATATATTTTATTAGCAATAAAAGCAACAAGAGCACAACATAACTTTCTAACATAAAACACAAAATTCTAATATTGAAAAACGTTTAATCTTGAAGTCAATCTGTCAGAAGTAGGTACTTGTGTACCCTCTCCTCTCTCTGGAAAATCTAAAAATGAAAAAAAGAAAATACTCAGTCCACTTTGGTTTATTCTAAGGCATGTCTTTAAACTGAACTAGGTCTCTTGTACGCTGTATCTATTAGGTGTACCTACTCAAGTATAGTTTATTCAGAGATATAAGAAAAGTCGTAAAATGCAATAAATCATTACTGTATTGTTCGGCCAAGCACCTACACCCATAAAGGAGCCGAAAACCCGCAGTAGGTAGGTAAGGAGACGGGTGGGTTGTACTAGCCCAATGTTCTGCTTATTTATTTCAACTTAGAAAGTCACTTATTTGACACGAAATGAAACCAAATTTATCAGAATGTAAAATTACTTTATCAAAAAATTACAATAAATGTTACTAGGTACTTGCTATTATGGAGTGGCCATATAATTTGATTCATGAATTTATAATAGAGGACCAAAAAAAAAATAAACAAAAAAAATATTTTGAAAATGTTTACTATTCTATATTACAAGTACAAAAAAATATTATTTTTCCCTTACAAATATTTAAAAAAATATTATATCATAAAATATCATATTATTTAACTTAAAAAAAGGTCGGTATCACTATCACTACTGCCATTAAGTTGAATCCGGATGCTCAATTGGCTCTGTGTACTCGTCGAATGATAATAAGAATTTTCTATTTTTTTAACATGTTGGACATAGTTTGCCCAGCTACTATCTGGAATCTTTTCCATCTCTTCTTGAACGAGTTTTAAAACAGCTGCATTGAGCTTGGGGCATGTGTTCCTTCGTCGCACTGCCGATTTCAACTGATGCCACATTTGCTCGATGGGATTGAAAATACAGTAATATGGCGGCAGCCTTAACAATGTATGTCCCAAACTTTCTGCTAAATTGTCACAAATATATTCTTTTTTGATATTAAATGCTTTTAGTACCTCTAATAATTCTTTTTTCGTGTAACTTTCATGAAAATATATGTGCCTGTTGTGCATATACTCTTGAATGTCAGCTTTTGTATCATTAGAGCATGGTGCTTTGTTCAACTGCCTACTGTGGTAACTTGCATTGACCATCACGATTATGCTGTTTGGTGGGATATTTGGTAATAGTTTGGTTGCGAACCAGTCTTCAAACACCTCCGCTGTAGTGTCTTCGTGATAGTCGAGGCAAGAATCTTTTATATTTTTGGCTGACAAACACAAAGCATTGGGCACCCAGCCTTTTTCTGAACCAGCGTGAATAATCGTTATTCGTTGTCCTCGATTGGAAGGTGCATTTGTTTTGCATTTAGAGGACGAGTCTACCCAACCTTTTGATGGGGTATCGTGAGTGTCAAACCACGTTTCGTCTAAATATATGATGGACCTTTGTTCTTCTCGATATTGTTTTATTTTTCTTAAATATTCCGATTTCCATTTAGTAGGTCTACAGTCCGTTTCATGAGGGTTCATACCCACGTGGTCAATTGTCTTATCTTAAAACCTGATTGAAACAAATTATTGACTCCATAGACATTAGTTATTGACGAAAGTATGAACCCTCATGAAACGGACTGTACCTACGTTTCCGTCGGAATTTCGCCTGCCGATGCCGGTTATTATTATTAACTAACTCACTGTCACTAGAAATCTGCAAACTTGTTTTAACACTATTCCTTATTAGAAAAAACAAAAAAATCTGAATTAATATTGCCATATTCAAAACAAAATCAAATGCGATCCTGAACGGGGCTGCCATAAATTATTTTTCCTGTTGCTTTTATCAATATAAGGGGTGTAAGCACGTGGCCCAACAAAGAGGCAGATGATTTATTGCATTTTACGACTTTTCTTAGATCTCTGAATAAACTATACTCTCTTGGTTCATGGTTTATTCTGATGGCTAGACTAGAAACAGAAAAAAATAAATATTCAGTAGGTGTACACCTACTACTTTTTTCAATAAGGAAGATTATTTTTAGGTAATATAGCCTTACGCTTGCTTCTTTATGGT